ACTCGAAAAATCATCACGCACTTAATCGCTTTTAGTTAACATAAAAATATATGTTTTATAATTTATTTAACACTTCCTAGGATTAAATATGATCACCTATTATGTTGAATAACCTTGACGGTTTTAATGTTTCCCCCATGAATACAATAATAATAATAATAGTAATAATAATAATAATAATAATAATAATAATAATAATAATAATAATAATGGCCAGTTTGTACCGAGACCCCACGAGACACCTGAGATACATCAGAGGAAAAAAATAAGTGACTAATGAAAGCAATAGTTAAATCAGCCACTTAACTAAAATTAAGTAAACTTTTATATCTTATGTCCCACTTAGTGGAGGTGCTTTGATACTGGTGAAATTCCCTTGATCCAAGGAGCTCAAGCTGCCCTTTTTCTCGAATCAAACCTGATTACTTTCCCTTCCCCAGGAGTTGTATCACCTCTGCCCCTCAAGGGAGGTTCCTTGACGCTGGTGAGGGGCTCTTGATCTACGGAACTGGATCTGTGCTCCGGTTCCCTGAATTGAGCCTGAATACCTTCCACCCCCCTCCCCATTGCGCTGTATAATCCTACGGGTTTAGCTCTCCCCATGATTATAATAATTATATTGTATGACCTCTGCAGGTTTAGCTTTTCCACCATGAATTAAATAGTCATCTTGTTATGGACGTATTCGTATTGGATCCAAGGTAAGAGAGGGACAGGATGTATACACTGAAAATTTACTTTGATCACTTTTTTTTGTGTGTGTGATTATAAAGCATCCTTGACTGGTGGTGACTGGTATAGTTGATAGACTTTAAATCTAACAGTCCGACAAACTAAGGTAGGGACACAGCCAGCTCCAGCACCTCAGATCAAGAGTCCCTCACTGACTATATAGCTCCCCAATGAAGGGTACGACTATAACCGTAGCTATTTTTAGCTGTCATGATGTAGCTGCAGGAATCCCCACCACCTCAAATAGCCTTCCTGTTTATAAACCCACACGAACAACTGCCTCCTCACAATATTTAACTTTGGCAGTTAAGTGCTGGGACTTTTTTTCACACTTATAAATGGTTGTTGTTTAGTCATCTCCTGGCAAACTGAGTGTATGTTTCTGCCCACCGGACCTTCAGGGAGGATGGGGAAGGGCGTGCCATGATGCTGGTGAAGCGGTCTTGACGCTCAAAGGCACTGGAGCTACCCTCCCCTTCCTTTGATCAAACCTTGTTACCTCCGATTTCCCAAGCGTTGTATGACCCTCACGGGTTCATCGCTTTGCCCTGAGGTGTTCATCCTTACGATCTGTTGCTTAGCCAAGTGTTCACACCTACGCTTGATTCCTCACTCACAGTCTCTATTGTATTTGTATTTCATAACAAGAATTGTTAAACTTGCTTGTGCAGCGTTGTAAAACCCAGAGGGCTTAGTACTCGATTTTTAACATAACAATAATAATAATAATAATAATAATAATAATAATAATAATAATAATAATAATAATAATAATAAGAAGAAGAAGAAGAAGAAGAAGAAGAAGAAGAAGAAGAAGAAGAAAAAGACGAAGAAGAAAAAGAAGAAAAATAAACCCCTTTGTGTTATTAAGTGGAAGCTGGAACATTCATATGATCTTTCATTGCCAGGGACTGACTCGTGTTACAAACATCACTACCTGTTTGTTTGATTAGTCGCTTATCTCAGCTCACACTGTCTTCAAGAGGGTAGTATACCTTGATAGTGGTAATGGGTTCGTGATCTAAAATATTGCAACTACTTTCTCCCTCCCTTGATCACACTTATTACCTTCCAAAAATATAGCCTCAGAACTGGACAAGAATTTAATGGTGTTCATTCATGTGAGACATTTTAACCACCCAATTGATATTGAAAAGGCCTAGAAAGTGAGTCCGTGGTTGAGCACAATGTAATTTAATCAAGCTTCATAAAAGATAATATTAATTGTAATAAGTTCTGGGATGTAGAAATTAGATTAATTTATGAATAGAATCTGTGAGAATTTTAAACTATGCCTGACGTGTCACTAGTTTTTTTTTTTACGTAAAGTTGAAGTGACTAAACTGCTACATTCCCAAGTTCATTGAGTAGGGACCTATGTGAGGCTATATTTTAGCTTCATCAGTCTTCTTTTGTCCTATTATCTTTACTATTCCTTGATAATGTGAGAAATCACGAAAACACTTGTAATTTCATGATTTTTTTTTTTGCGTATTGTGTTATGACCTGTTTACTATGATTTATTTTCTTTTACGGTACGCAAATTTTGGTTAATTGACATTAACGTGCCTTAACCTAACCTAAAGTAAACTAGCTAAAGGACGGTTGAATCAGTAAGCGAGTTCATGGGCGAAAGGTGTTGACGTTGATGCGTACATTATTATTATTATAATCAAGGGGGAAGCGCTAAACCCGGAGGATTATACAGCGCCTGGGGGGGGGATGTGGAAGGCATTCAGGCTTAATTCGGGGAACTGGAGCACAGATCCAATTCCCTAAATCAAGAGCCCCTCACCAACATCAAGGAACCTTCCTTGAGGGGTTTGATGCGTACAACGTGTAGAAACTCGCGCACTAATGTGCGTTAGAGACGAATGTTGTTATTTTAAGGGTGGGTAGTAGCCAAGGTGTGGCCTCCCCCCTCCTCAACCCCCCTCCTCACCCCCCCCGTCGCACGTGTCACCGCTGGCATACCTTGCACATTTGTGTTATTTTTTTTATGTATAATGTCAGGGTGTTATATGCACAGGGCAGCTGAAATAACGCAGCATGCAGTTACCTATGTTGGCATGTGAAATCTTTAACGTATCTGTTCATAAAACTGTGAACTACTTCAGCTTCCTCTGTGTCGTCCACCAGTGCATTCAACTTCGTTATATATATATATATATATATATATATATATATATATATATATATATATATATATATATATATATATATATATTATATAATATATATATATATATATATATATATATATATATATATATAACATTGTAAGTGTTACCTGACGTGCTCGTGACTCATAAGAACATAAGAAAAGAGAAGCTTTTGCCTCATACTTGTTCTTCTCGACATAAAAGCTGCTCTCCTTTTCCACCCATTTTATGCCTCAGAAATTTGTACATCATTATCATACTTTCTCTGTTCTAACAGCGTTATGAGGTTCAGTTCACACAATATTTCTTCACATCTTTATCTTTTACAGGTTTATAATTAAGCTATATTAAAATTTTATATAAATGACTAAACTTTGAAAAATTCATCGATTAGGCTTATCTTCATTGCACTGCCCGTTATTACAATAAAAAAAGAAGCGCTGAACCACAAGGGCTATACAGCGCTCTGCACTGCCCGTTGAGCCCTGAAATTTCTCTCTCAGCTATATGTACTCATTTGTGTGCACTGGTCGAGTTTCAGTTCTGGTCCTGCTACTGAGTTCACTCCCTTTTCTGTGAGTCTTTTTCATACCTATTTATATAACTGTGTATAGATCCTGTCTCTACCATTTAGTAGTACAGGTCACAACACTTCCTGATGGCTCCGAGGCTGAAGAAATGCCTCCTGACCTTCAGGTGATTCATCAGTGTTTATTATGTTCCAACTATATCCGTGTTGTACCTGCTTCCCGTCACTCGAACAGCTTGTTTCTCTCCATTCTCAATTCCTGTTGAATATTTTGAGGTATGGCACTTTTGCCTGAGAAATGGAATGACCTAGAGCCAACACATGGTGCGACACTTGTCTGAGAAGATGTTAAACCTATATATCACTGGTTGAAATATACCAACAGGTAAACAAATAAGACACCATCTTGAGTTTATAACATTTTATTGAGTTTCGTCCACTTTGTTATTTCACTGGTGAACTGATCAAGATTCTGGTGGGCGAAACGTATTCTCACTAAAATGCTATAAACTGCAAAGTGTGTCTTATTTAAAGAGGTGGAACCACCTGGACAACGTACAATAAATTATTGAGCTGTCACCCAGTAACGAGGCGCTCCTGCCAACACAACAACTACAGAGAATTATGATACATTCTTAAAATTTAACTATCTTCCTATCTACAAGCAACACACATAATCAAAACACCTCAGACTTTCTGCATGTATATGCTACGTTTTATTATTGCATATGTGTACTTTATTACATATGTATTCTTGCTGCATATGTATACTTAATATAAATTAAATGAATTTAAAGGCATTAAATTTAATTTTTTTTATATTTTATTTAAAAAACACAGTATACATGGATGGATTAAATTGAATTAATCAAACAAAATATGAGAGATTTTTTTTTAATTTCCTCTTGACACATACCACCACCATCACCATCAAAATACATAATAAATTCATAAAAGGTTTCAAAAACAAATAAAAAAAATCATTGCTCTTGATCTAAACAAAACATGTGGATTAAAAATATGTAAAAGACAGTAAAAACACATCTACATTAAAAATATTTAATAAGGCTAATATATTTGTCATGATGTCTAATATTTTTACAACTACACTGATAGTAATAAGTCATGAAAAATGTTAATAAACACAAGAAGCACATAATTACCAACAATACAAAAGAAAAAGATATAATGGAAAACTGTTGGGGGAACTTAGATAATGCACAGGAAGCAACACGCACAAAAATAGTGTTTTATATATATATATATATATATATATATATATATATATATATATATATATTATATATATATATATATATATTATATATATATATTATATATATATATATATATATATTATATATATATATTAATATATATAATATATATTTATATATATATATATATTAATATATATTATATATATATATATATATATATATATATATATATATATATATATATATATATATTATATATATATATATATATATATATATATATATATATATATATATATATATATATATATATATATATATATATGTATATAAAAAGAGAGGATAATAAATACTTACACTTGACTTGAAGTACTCCTCAGTCTTGGTGATTTTTGTCACCCTGTGTGACACTGTTCTTTGAGTGATTTCCAACTCCATTTTGCCTTATATCCGGACTACCAGTCACTTACTGCCTCTTTACTTTTTGCTGATTTTACAAATGTTTCCTTTTTGTTAATTAAATCAGGGTTTTATTTACGTTTGAATTGCCTGCAATATTTTTTCTTTAGTCAAGTGCAACGTTGCAACATTGGCTGTACTGTTAAACTAAGGGACAAACCATTTTTAATTTCACTATTATATGCAGTCTGAATAATTTCAATAAATTTTCTAATGATGTTTAATATCTCATGAAGCAAAATACAAGATTGTCTCTGGTTACGGAGGAAATTTAAGGTAGCAACTGCGGGCATGTTTGTTTGCATTGTTGTTTCATTGGAAAATGTATTTGTATGTTCTGTATGGAAATAATCAGATACACATGTATTCGTATTAATGTTTAATGAAATGCTATTTCACATAGCTGAGGGGTAAATGCGTTACATAAGGAGTACAACATGACAATGGCGACCTTCATTACCCATTAGTAAAGGATCAGGTATAATATACAGTGAACCATGAAAAGTGGAAAAACCACTTGGACAAAATTAAAAAGCAGGTAAACAGATGTCTCTTTTTTACCTGTAATTATATTCTTTACTTGAGCGGTTCTTCACTTCTCAAATATTCAGCGGGATGAGTGTACGATTTGTCCAACAATATTTTCAATAAGCAACACCGAATTAGACCAGAATGAGCAGCGCTGACTGATCCCCAGTGGATTTAGTACATGTCAATATAGTAATAATAATAATAATAATGATAATAATATACCAGAATGGCTCTAGTAAGATTAAAAAATATCGTTTATGTAAATATGTCAATATGAAGAAAATCTTTCCAACTCGTTGGGTGTTACGCCAGGGAATTTGAGTCACACTAAACGTTTTGTTAATACATACAAAAAACCCGCACATAGTAGAAAGAAGCTTACTTTCTACTACCACAACTACTACTTCCACTACCAGCATTACCACTACTTGTTCTCTTGTGTCAATGTTATACTTCAGCTAACTTAATGATTATAACCATAAGCCAGCGGAAGTCCTGGGTCAGATGACCAAAAGTTTCAGTTACAGGTCATTATATAACCGAGGCCCGCGTCGGGAAACTCATGTACTGTTTCCTGACAAACATTATACCTACCTATCCCTTGCGTCAGGAAACAATGTCCTGTTTCCTGACAAACCTTATACCTATCTCTTGTGTTAGTGTGACTTATGAATGGTGACGTGGAACGTCGTCGTAAGCTTCTGTCTCTATGTGAACTTTTTTTGGTGTGTGTATTCCAGTCACAGTATTGTGTCTTTTTGTTCTTCACTTTGTTAATATTGTACTGATTTAAAACGGAGATGACGCAAGAAAATGTTTGCTCACTTTCCACAAATCTGCAGTCTTCTACGATTAAATTAAGCATTAAAATGTTTTGTCATATGGAGCAGCCTACCTATAAATTCTGGAGAGGGTGACATTAGCAACTGATTTTCCTGACGCTTTTTCGGGCTAAGATTTTTGCTTACTGCTGAAAATATGCGTCACACACACACACACACACACACATGTAAAACGTAATTCACCGAGCCTACAAATTATGCCTGGCAAAGAATGCATGACAACGACCTTTCAAAATAACCTTTAATATGTTAGTGACCAAGCAAATGACTTCCGTGTCAGTTCTTCTTAATATATACCTCGGCGAAATGGCGAGAAGATACTTCAGAGACGAAAATCAAAGAGTAAAGAACGAAGCAGTAATGATTCAACTCAGCGAGGTAATAAATGGTGCAGATCCAAGAAGACAACCACAGAAAAATGAAAATGGTCGGGGTGATGCCAAGGCAGTTATTGAGGAGCCTGGTGGACGTCTTCCCAGCACACACTGCTCACAATCGCTTCCCAAGCATCAAATACAAAGGTGGGATCTAATTATATTCTGGCACTGGATCGTAACACCGACAGAATCACCACCACTCCTCTCACAAGTCAGCACCACCACCCCTTCCCCGCAACACCATCATTATAACCCCCACCATTATCAACACCACCATCATTATCACCACCACCGGTCGTCACCACCATCACCACAACCACTGCTGACACCTCAAACATACGGGATAAGAAGTTGGGAGAAAAAAAAGTAATCAGTTTAGCCCCTGAAAAAATAGGGGCAGAATTTGCGTAAAGTGTCGGCGTGTTTTTTTTTGGTAAGCTGTATGTGGCTTCTAGAAAAATCATTATTTTTTAAAAAAACCTTTAAAAAAAAGAACTAGCCTATACCCAAGTGATTTTTAAAATGAGAGAGTGGGTGAGATGTTATCAACAAATTTTGTTGAAAATAAGAAAAAGTTTTGGAGTGAGATTAACAAGTTAAGAAAGCCTAGAGAACAAATGGATTTGTCAGTTAAAAATAGGAGAGGAGAGTTATTAAATGGAGAGTTAGAGGTATTGGGAAGATGGAAGGAATATTTTGAGGAATTGTTAAATGTTGATGAAGATAGGGAAGCTGTGATTTCGTGTATAGGGCAAGGAGGAATAACATCTTGTAGGAGTGAGGAAGAGCCAGTTGTGAGTGTGGGGGAAGTTCGTGAGGCAGTAGGTAAAATGAAAGGGGGTAAGGCAGCCGGGATTGATGGGATAAAGATAGAAATGTTAAAAGCAGGTGGGGATA